TAAAGAGTGTATATATATATATATATATATATATATATATATATATATATATATATATACACACACTTGTAATGTTTTTTAAAGGCTGCCTTTATTTGATCAAAAATACAGAAAAAACAGTAATCTTGCAAAATGTTATTACAATATAAAATAATGGTTTCTATTTTAAAATCCTTTAAAATATATTTTATTTCTGTGATGCAAAGCTGAATTTCCATCAGCCATTACTCCAATATAAAGTGTGACATGATCCTTCAGAAATCATTCTAATATGCTGATTTATTATCAGTTGAAAACTGTTTTTGATGCTTAATATTTGTTTTGGAACCTGTGATACTTCTTTCTGCATTCTTTGTTGAATAAAAAGTTCAAAAGAACAACATTAACATTCTAACAGTACGAGTCTTTATCACTTTAAAAAAAATAAATAAATCAATAACACATCCTTGTTGCACATTACTATAAATATAACATCAAAATGATATGCAAAGATCTGAAATATCTTTTGTGCCCTCTCCTAGAAAGAACCCGTCCTATCACATAAAACATATAAATCCTTTATTTATATAAAACATATTTTATAGAATGTTATCATATGTGAAACATCATATATAATATAACTTCACTTGAGTTTAATAAATCCATGAACAAACCCTAGAGTTTCTAATCGCAAAACATGTTTGAGGTGTAGAGTCTGGGTTAACGAGCTGTTATTTGAACAACAGAAGTCTCTGGTTCAGTCTCTGGCTTTCTGGCCTTTGAGATCACCAGGTAAACGTGTCTGCGTCTGCTCTCCGAGATTCTGTGCAGCAGACACAGGCCGCTGAGGCAGCTCGCCACTTGACACGGGACATGATGAGTTTGTGTGCGGGTGGTTGGGGAGGGCTGAGCTGCCCAAAACAATCAGGTTCTCCTAAAGGCCCTCAGCAGCACAAACAGGCTAAATGCAAACCAGAGTCTGTCATGATGAAGACCCGAAAGCAGCAAATTCGGCATTAAACTCTGACAAACAGGGATCTGAGACGAGCAAACTCAATTTGGACACATACTCCTGGGATTTGAATGCCACTAAATCCAATATTGCAGGACCATGATTCCATTCATTTGCTCCTATGCACTCCTCTCTCTCCAATTAAGCTAATTAGAGCGACAGCAGACCTTAGGAAGGCTTTTTCTAACCACCAGGCTTCAGAATATGCATTGTATTAGCATCTTTGTTCCCGATAGCGTGCCAGCATAGAGGACATCTATGCCCATGAGTTTCTTAGAATAGCTTCTCGCGCTCAGCATCGTGATTAGACTGACGATCACAGTTTTTGCTGAGAACAGGCCATTTTTCTTGAATTCATAGCCTATATGAACACATTTCCAATGCCGTAACTCTGGTGTTTGTGCATTTATATTCAAAACCGTGTGAATATATGAATGTAAACGTTGCTCAGAGACATGTCTTCATTTGAATGAGCAGGACAACAGTAGAGAATGAAAAATGAGCTTAAACGTTGGCGATACTTACAGCGTTTTGAGGCCGCTCAAACCCTTGAACATCCGTCCGCTGACCGACTGCAGCTTGTTTCCGGTCAACAGCAGCTCCAAAACACCTCCGGCCCCATCAAACGCCCCCTCACGGATGTCCCGGAGTTTATTATTACTTAAGTTTCTGCAAACACAGAATTGAAGCCGCTATTTATTACTCTGACAAATGTGACCATGGACCATGGTCTTAAGTGTAAATTTTTCAAAATTGAGATTTATACATCATCCGAAAGCTGAATATATAATAATAAGCTTTCCATTGATGTATGGTTTGTTAGGATTGGACAATATTTGGTCGAGATACAACTATTTGAAAATCTGGAATCTGAGGGTGCAAAAAATGAAAATATGGAGAAAATCGCCTTTAAAGTTGTCTAAATGAAGGTCTTAGCAATGCATATTACTAATAAAAAATTAAGTTTTGATATATTTACGGTAGGAAATTTACAAAATATCTTCATGGAACATGATCTTTACTTAATATCCTAATGATTTTTGGCATAAAAGAAAAATCTATAATTGTTGGCTATTGCTACAAATATACCTCAGCGACTTAAGACTGCTTTTGTGCTCCAGGGTCACAAATGGCAGAAAGCACTGGTGGCAATGGTACACTGCAAATGTCTTTGTTTCATCATATGAATAGGTTGTGGTTGTATGCTAAACACACGTTTATGATGATTCACTGCTTAATTTTAAACCGTGCTTCAGTAAAATGTAAGGTCGGGCTTTTAGATCTGCCAAATTTATAACTGTGCTAGATAGTAAGCAATTTCATGCATGATAAATCACCGGTCCTCTTCCTGAGCGAATACCGCTTTTTCCAATTTTGGAGTGAGCCGCAAATATTGCCTGACGGTAAATCACTGCATGTTTTCCTATTAGGTTGGAATATTCCAGAAGCTTTTCTTGTCCTGCTGTCCATAGCGAAGCTGGATTTCCCAACTACACCAATGTCATTCAGCAGTCAAACCGAAAAAGAGAAATAAACCCGTTCGTACATCTTGCGCAGGTTTGGCAGCTTCTTGAAGGCCCCTGTAGCCTCTAGGACGGAGATTTCATTGTCGTTCAGCCGTCTGGTGGAGAGCGAGACAGAGGTTAATAGTTCAACAGTAAGCAGAGTACTCACAAGCTCACAGCAAAAAGCACTAGTAAACCTCACTGGAGCATGTAGGAGTGATGATCATTCAGACTCTTATGTGGGAGACGCTGTCTAATTGGGATTGTAATGAAAAATCAGTACCGCTCTCTCTGGTACAAAATCATACACATTCATCTGTCCCTCAACACCAGTGATGACAACATGAAGGACATACTCTGATACTTTGCAAATAATAACAGTAGACGTGGAAGACGGGCTAACAGGCGATGCAGATAAATGGAGACCGAATCTGGAAACAGATGGTGTATTTTGGAATGCCATAGTACTTTATGCAGAAGTTTCAAACTGGAGCTGCAAGGAAGTAGGAACGGCAGGAGGAAAATAAATTAAATAAAAAAGAAAAGAAAATAATAAAATATGAGCCCAAATGACATTAATTACTATTTCATTCTGATTTAAACACTGGTTGAAAATGGAAAAATTCTAAAAGTGCGGTCACATTTACCGTTGTTCTGCAAATATCCGTGGGCAAAATCCAGTAATTGCAATAGAATTTATGCACTCAGAAATTTTGCATGAGTGTGAAAGTGATTCATACATTTCCACTCTGAAAATAGACAACGGATCTTTTTTGTCCATGAAATTTTACTGATTTGACCGCATCATAAGGGAATCAAAATTCTATTGTAAATATTTTCAGATCAACTTTTACACATTTTTTTTTCACAGTATAATTGGGCCTTTATTCAGAAGTTAATAATTATTCTATGCATGCATTACACAAGATATCTTCCAAAACTGGTGCATTCAAGTTATGTTGGGAAATCGTATTTACGAGTTAAAGGCACATGAACATCATGTCTTTTTTAATGTTAAATTTGTTAAAATTAATGGAATACTTATACATTTTTATTTACAATAAAACGAATCTAAGCATTAAGAATAGTTACTTTGCATTTAAAAGTAATAATATTGTACAATTACTATAGAATACATTATTTACTTTACAGCACTCCCATTGTGCATTCTTTATTAATCATTTAGTAGATTAATAAAAATCTTGTTGAAATTTATGTAGAAAAGATCCATTGCCACACTGAACTGAGATTTACTTTCAAATGATTAATCGCGATTAATCACATTCAAAATAAAAGTTTTTGTTTACATAATATATTTATGTGTACTGTGTATATTTATTATTTATATATAAATACACACACACATACAGAATATATTTAGAAAATATTTACATGTGTATATACTTTTATATTCTTATATTATATATAAATATATTTAATATTTAAACAACATATTTTTCTTAAATATATACATGCATGTGTTTGTATTTAAATATACATAGTATATACACACATATATTATGTAAACAAAATATTTAATTTTGGATGCGATTAATCGCGATTAATCATTTGACAGCAGTACTTTAAACTGCTAGCAAATTTTACAAATATTTACACAGAAACAGCAAGTAACACTGAATTAATTGTGAAATTTTAAAGCGGAAAGAATGAAATAGTATTTTTTTTTTGGTCAAATCTACTCCAGCAGTCTTTGTTTTATTATTTTTTTTACAGTGCATCTTACTCTAACCAAAGTTATTTGAATGCATTGCAATTATGACTTCCCAACTTAAAAGGACTTACAAGAACTTCCCAGGAGGACTTGAATGCACCAAATGTATAACCAAGAAATGACAATAAATCATAACCAGCAAATGATAGCATGAGGTATATACTGCACAGCAGTTAGCAGTATGCAAGTATTCCTTTGCAAACAGAGCAAGACTGCTGCAGAGAAGGTCTAGGCAAGGTTGAGAGAGACTTTCCAAACATTAGTAAAAGTAGAGTCTGTCTTTTTGCTTCCCCCAGGGCTGCTTTCCCCAGCGGGGCCTGCCATGGGATAGCACATCAGACATAAAGTGCTGGTTCCTGGTTGCTAGCATTCCCGCAAGAGCTCTATAAATAAGCAGCTGCACTAGCGGGTGCAAGCTGTAGTCACTGAGCCGCAGAAAGATAGAGAGAGAGAAAGAGAGAGTGTGACAGATGACTCGAGTTGATGGGACTGCAGAGAGAAAACCCTGATGTGTCCTTTACACACCAACACAAGGGCAAACGCATTGTCACCCTGACTAGCGCTGCGCAGGGAAAACACGGCTGAGAGGCTAATGGTCTGAGAGAGGCCCTGGACATTCATTCACACAACTCAGCTGGGGACGAGACCCCCTAATCAGAGGACAGGAGAGAGGAACGAGGCCTCGGTGACAGAGGGACACCGAAAGAATTAGCGAGGTGAGATTGTAAATGGTCAATGATCCCGTGAATGACTGATGGGGTCGCTAGGTGTGTTTGTAAGCTCAAATGTGTGACTCTTACAGGTCGGTGGTGTGCTCCGGCAGGTGAGGGGGTGTTTTGGTGAGTTTGAGGTTGGAGCAGTCCACCACCGTTCCCTCACACCGACAGCGCTCGGGACAAACCAGGTCCTGGAAACACTCGCCGCTGAGACGACTGCGGTAGTCCTCCGCACCTAACAAACACAACAGACACAAACAGACAGAGAAACAGACAATCAACCAGCTTATTCAGCTCATCACACGCATGGTTAAACCTCACAAAATCTAAAGAAATAAGAAATGTATTTGCATAAAAATGAAGCCTTTTTGCACTGTGGCATTATTTTCAGGACAATGAAGCACTTCCACATTAAAATGAAATGAAATACAATAATAAATGGTATTAATAAATCAAGATTTTTGTTGTACCGACTATATACTAATTTAAATAAAAGTGTTTTTTTTAAATAGTAATACAAATTCAAATAATGGGAATTAAAATATCATAGTAAATTCTCTTAATGGCTTAAAATAGAATAAAAATATGTGAAATATATGAACACAATTTTAATTGTTTTTCTATATAAAATGTAAATTTGTATGTTTCATGCAAATATTTATATAAAAGTGTCTGTAATACAGTTAATAATGGCTTAATGGCTTTGTAATCGTTGTAAAAAGATGTAAAATATATGAACACAATTCGACATTTTACAATAAAATGTAATTTGAACGTGTCATACAAATGTAATATTTATATTAAATAGAGCTGTAATACAGTTCGAATTTCAAATAATTGGAATTAGGTAAAAATCTCAACGTAAAATTTCAAATTAAAGTTGGGAGAAATGTGCTTAATGGTCTTAATGGCTTTGCAATCTATATATAAAAAAGTCAAATATATAAGCACAATTTTACATATTTTTCTATATAAAATGTAAATTTGTATGTGTCATGCAAATGTTGTAATATTTATATTACAAAAATAATAAAAATAACCGTATAAGTAATACAGTTCAGATTTAAAAGAATGGGAATTAGGAAACAAATCTCAAAGCAGAATGTCTGAAATGTATCACAGTAATGAGAAATTGGGGAAATGTGCTTAATTATCTTAATGGCTTTGTAATATATATAAAAAATGTCAAATATATGACCACAATTTTACTTATTTTTCTATATAGGATCTGTAAATCTGTAGATATCATGCAAATAAAAAAAAAGAGACATTCTTACATTTTCTTTTGATTGTGGGGAAAAACATGACCTGGACATATCTTTAATGTGTTTTACCCACATAATAAATAAGAATGAATATTTTGGTTTTATGTCTTTTTTCTTTCCACCTACAAACACGTCCACAAACAGCCGCAGGCACTTGTTTGCGAACACGACCTCATCGTCTGCATTCTTTTTTTTCAGATAACAGCGTCATTGAGCGAGAGGTCAGGTATGGGAGGTCTGGCACTACGAAGTGTTTTGATAGGAAAACACAGGCAGTTTCTGCGTAACACGAGCTTCTGGCCGCCCGCGATAAGTCTGCTTCCCATCAGCCATCACTCGCTTGCCACTGTTTATCATATTCCCACCATCTCCGTTCGGCTGCCCTGATGCTTCCAGCCAAACGTCTACGAGAGTGACCTTAAAAAAAAAAAAAAACCCCCGGTGCAGAACACAGCTAGAGCTCCTCACAAGCGATCCGTTGTTCCCGGGTTAAAGAACGCCACCTTCACTCCTCACGGTGACAAAGAGAGCTGCCACCGCACATATCCCAGAATGCCATGCTGTGTGCGAGTGTGTCCAGCGGTCCCTGGTGCTTGACGGAACCATGTGAGGCTTGTGTAGGCGGCGGCACATGGTTAGATCAAGCACAAGAGACAGCTGCACCAGAGGCCAGAGTGGAGGAGCGGAGTGGGACGGAGAGGTGGGGAGGAGGAGGAGGAGGAGGAAGAGGAAGGAGCAGCCAGGAAGCCGCACAGAACTCTGGGCCACCATGCACACAGGCGGGCCGGCCCCTTTCCCTCGTCCCAGCATGGACAATAGCCCGCTGGGAATACAAGCCCGAAAAGACAGACAGACAGGGACTAGAAAGACACACATAAAGACATCGCAGAGGAGAGAGGAATGGAGCAAAGCCCTCTGCCACCACACATACACACACGGCCCTAGCCAGCGTTTGAAAATTAGTAAGGTCTGGGGTGGGGTTAAGAACTGTGCTATAATAACCCCAAATATATACACTAACACTTTAAAACAGACAAGAGATGACAGAGATGGAGATGTTTGTGAAAGATATTTTCTCTGTTCTGGAGGGGTGAACATATTTATTGCATCAAAATTTGTTAATAGTTTACTATAGGTTAGGGATGGATAATTTGATCAGTTGCTTATTAATCATGCAACAATACGTATTACTGTTATAGTTTTCATTAATAATAATTGCTATGTAGATGATAACTTTGTCTAGTGCTCTTATTAATGTTTTTAGCATGATTTGTGAAAATTTAACTACTTTAGCTTTTTGCGTATAGGCTATTTCATTCTGTAACCCAGTGGTTCCCAACTCTGGTCCTGGAGGCACCCCAACACTGCACATTTTACATTTCTCTTTTCTCTGACACACCAATTTCAGAGTCTCTACTAATGAGCTGATGATCTGAATCAGGTGTGTTTGATTAAGGAGACATGCAAAACATGCAGTGTTGGGGTGCCTCCAGGATCATGGTTGGGAACCACTGCTGTAACCTACGTGTTCTACAGATCTGTGTACTAGTGTTAAATGCTACTGTTTTTGACATCGTTGATAAGGTTTCATGATATTTTTTGTGTTTCCCTTACCGAATGTGCTGTCCTGACAGCAATAACCTGTCCGTGGGCTTTTTTGATTACTGTCAGTTTAAGTGCTGGTGATGCAGTGTTGCCAGATATTGCTATAAAAAAACTAAAAAATTAATAAAAATAAACTAATATTTTTTGCAAATAAGATAAATATATCGCTAACCCTAAACTGTAACTTCCCACTTTATTAACTTTCTAGAGTGTCAAATTAAGGGGAAAAGACAAGTCCAAAAAAGTGTATAATAACTGGATCTGGCAACATGGAGGCTGCGCCCGCGCCCTCACTAACAATTCTCATTCACGCCGCCAGTGTCTAGCAGCGATTATTTTCATACCACGGATGCTAAACATTCTTGCAAACTGTCTAAGCTGAATTATACATGCAGACATTCATATGAGGAGTTTTAAACAACAAATTAGTCATTCAGAGAACAAATTGTATTTTTGAACATTCACAATTTACTGAGGTCTGGACCTCAGTAATCTTACAGCTGGCTACGGGCCTGTAAACAACAAATTAGTCATTCAGAGAACAAATTGTATTTTTGAACATTCACAATTTACTGAGGTCCGGACCTCAGTAATCTTACAGCTGGCTACGGGCCTGCATACACACACACACACACACACGCACACACGCACACACGCACACGCACACACACACACACACACACACACACACACACACACACACACACACACACACACACACACACGCACACGCACACAAAACAAAGATTTTCATGTGCAAACACACACTAGGGGCCAGTAGCGGGTTTGTGTGCTCTGGCGTTGCACTTGTTATTGTGCTGATAAACTGACAGAAGTTTAATGAGAAAAACCTGTGGCTTAATATCAAAGCAAACAGCGGCTGCACTTCTCCCACCAAATCAGTTCCCTCAGGGGCCCGTGCTTTTGGCTGCGTGTGGGGGCCGGTTCCGACTCTTAAAAACATCTTCTAACAAGGCATCTTCATTCAGCTTCAGAACAGCCAGCATTGTCCTATTAGCCCTCTGAAACCTGGCAGTGTGTGAGAAGAACTGCTCCAGGCCAGAGTATGCCACACACAAACTTACACATAGGAAAAGGAAAGGGACGTCACTGAATGTGAGGAGTCTCAGTGTGAAGAAGAATGTGAGCAGCAATTGGTGGGCCAGAACTGTGAGCCATCAACAGGTCACTGTGCACAGCCTAGTGGATTCACTGTATGGCAGGAGCTGTGTTCGGATTCATTCACTTGATTGACTGTCTTTCATAAGGTGTAAGTCTCTTTATAATATTATCTTGGACCAAAAACCAACCATAATGTACACCACCATTTTCCACTTACTCATTGAATTTAAACAGTTGTACTACTGGTTTTGCGTATTATACTATTTGTATTCAGCAAGGATGCATTAAATTGATCAAAAGTGACAGTAAAAGCCTTCACATTGTTACAAAAAAAACAGTTTCAAATAAATGCTGTTCTGTAGAGCTTTCGACTCTTCAAAGAATCCCAAAAAACAACAACATAGTTTTCACAAAAGTATTAAGCAGCACAACTGTTTTCAACACTGATAATAATAAGAAATATTTCTTGAGCTGCAAATAAGCATATTAGAATGATTTCTGAAGGATCATCTGACATTGAAGACTGGAGTAACGATGCTGAAAATTCATAAAATAGAAAACTTATTTTAATTTGTAATAATATTTTACAATATTACTGTTTTTAATGTATTTTTGATCAATGAGTGCAGCCTCGACAGTCATAAGGTCATAAGATTTTGTCAATGTTAACACTGAAACATTCTAATAGTCCACTTTAGACATTCTAATAACTATAAGTAACTTTGTAACTACATGCCAACTAACATTCATTAGTGGACTGCTTTAATTTCTTCTAACACTTCATTTTCATGGTCCATCAACAGGCATTCTACTAATTATAAGTAACATTGCAAGCGCATGTCAACTTATACTACTAACGCTAACCTAACAGTCTACTAATATTTAATGAGTGTTGGTTGATGCGTAGATGCAAATTAATGAGAGTTAGTTGACTGTTGTAGCTGCAAAGTTACTTACATTTAGTAGAACGTTTAAAGTGGACTATCAAAATAAAATGTAACCCGTTTAAAAACCTATACTACTTATATATACTACTTATATATATGTATATATATATACAAACTTTTAAACGGTAGTGTATTTTGACAATGTTTTCACATTTGAAATGAGCAGGCAGCTACCAAGCTGCTGAATACTAACTGTAAAGTGGGCAATCAACGTCATAACATTTTGATTTCTAAAGGACCCGTTTTTGCATCTTAATGTGAATACATATTCTGGGTGGATTGATGAAGAAGCCTTGTGAATGTTAAAGTATGTATACTGTAGTATATTGTTCCAATTAACTCAAAATACAACTCAGATTAACTCAAAAAGGCATAAAAGTCCTCTTTAAACAGTGTGCATGTGTGTAGCTCTACCTGTGCAGCGAAACTTCTTGCCCTTAACCTGGCTGATGCGTTTGTTGGCGAGGCGGCGCGGGTGGCTGCATCGAGCTCCGCTGGTCTCAATTGGATTGTCAAACAGGTAGTCGGCCAGCCACTTCAGATGACAGTCACACATGAAGGGATTCTGAGCGAGATGTCTGTGGAGGGCGGACATAATGATAAATCAAAACGCTTAATTAGAGTCAAGGGAGTTTGTATAATCGAACAGTAATATCCTGTGATAACAATACGATTCATAAACATTAACAATTTTTTTTCAAGTTCACATTTATCTCACTGCTGTTAATGCTGTTGTTTTGCTGTCTACTTGCAGCTAATTAATTGCGGGGTGAAGGCAGTCCTGCTCAACAGTTGCTTAGAGACTGGAGTCTCCTGGACTGAGCGTGGGTGTGAAGGATGGAGTGTTTATGTGTGTGTGTAACTCACAGTGTTTTGATGGAGCGCAGAGGGGTGAACAGGCCTTTGCTGATGGTCTGAAGCTTGTTGTCGTAGAGGGACAGCAGGTTGAGGTTCTGCAGGTCTTTGAAAGTGTTCACTCGAAGACAGTTGATCTTGTTGGCATTCAGCAGTCTGGAAGAGTAAACAGAAGTTTCATTAGACATTTTTTTCTCATCAGAATAAACACACGATAACAAACAAACAAAAAACTAAAATCTGCTTTAAGCTTTTCATATTTATGTTTAATTTACACGTGTAGTAGGCACTTTCTAACCTTTTGGATTATGGCACTGAGCACATAACGCCTAAGTGGCAAAACCCCCCAAAATACTTTTAAAATGAATACATAATGATGTATTCCTAAAATAAATAAAAAAATGAACAAAAAGCTAAAAAGGCAAAGCAAAGACAAAACAAAACAAAAAGCTAAACAAAACACAAGCAAAGCAAAGCAAACAAAACAAAAGCAAGTAAAGCAACACAAAACAAAACAAGCAAACCAAAGCAAAGTCAACCAAAACAAAACAAGCAAAGCAAAGGGAACCAAAACAAAATACAAAACAAAACAAGCAAAGCAAAGGGAACCAAAACAAAATACAAAACAAAACAAGCAAAGCAAAGGGAGCCAAAACAAAATACAAAACAAGCAAAGCAAAGGGAACCAAAACAAAATACAAAACAAAACAAAAACAAGCAAAGTAAAGCAAAAACAAAGCAAAACAAAACAATGTAAATACTTTTATTGCTGTAAATGAGCAAAGCAAAGGGAACCAAAACAAAATACAAAACAAAACAAAAACAAGCAAAGTAAAGCAAACAAAACAAAAACAAAACAATGTAAATACTTTTATTGCTGTAAATATGTCATTGTGTCATGTATGCTGTTCTTGATGAATAATGATTATTTATTGCATTACAGAAGTCTGTATGCTCTTATTAGTGTGCTCTGTTGAGCACGTGTGGCATCAGTCACCATATAGAAGCCTCTTTCAGTGCAGTCCCTGAGTCGCTGCAACGGTTTCAAGCGCATGTTTCCTACGGGTATACTTTGCGAAAGACTTAAGAGACAATAAGGACTTTTTATTTTCAATTTGCTAGACTGAGCGGAAAGTGCTGCTCTCTCTGAATGATTTTATGTTTTGCTTTAAAGCCTCTAGTGGAGAGTGTGATGGTTGCAGTAAATTCAGTAATCTGCGTTGTATCAGTAAACACGAGCAGTGTGTAGATGTCACCGGAGATAAAATTCACAATGTGGGATCCACAAAGTGCTCAAAGCTGTGTGACTTGATGTAAGCATCAGAAACATATTCAGATCTATAGATGTAATTTTCTCGGTTCACAGATCACTAATTTGAACAAAACTGGAGTGAATGTGTTGTCGATGAACTGCTGGAGTATTCAGCTGCTGAGTTGCACCCATCACTCCTGTCATGTCTCGCACTTCTCTCCCGTTCAGGCCGTCTGACAATTGACTAAAGCAGTCATGTGCTTAATTACTGAAAGCCATTGTAATGAGGTTTTGTCTTGGAGCAAACACATGCATCGTTAGTCTACTCACAGGGTGAACTAATTAGGTTTGAGTATCTCAAAAAAGACGAAAAAAATAATAAAAACTAAAGAAAAAAGAGTGAATAAAACCATAAACAACAGAAAGAAACACAGAAACGCCAAAATAGCTTTGCGAAATTGCTGGAATGCCCTGAGGTGTACCTTTGAAAGGGTCTTATTAAGAAAATCCATTAAGGATGAAGAACTCTAATTGCTGAAAACACAGATAATTTGTGTCATTATGGCAGTTGACAGTGAAAACATGAGCCGGGCCGCTCCAGTAAATCTATGGCGTTTTAGAAGCATAATAACAGGTGATGTGAGCTTATTTTTGTGCCCGCGGCAGCAGTGTGTACGTTAAGAAAAGCGGAAGCCATCAGAATTTCCCCAAAACATTAGAATAAGCTGAAACAGGCCCATTAGAGCCGACAGATTCACCTCAATTTGGACCATTAAATGCAGAAATTATGTCTGAGCAATGTTTCCATGTCTACACAAATATAAGTAGGTGTGAGGGACATGTTTAGCAATCAAGACCAATTTACATGCTAATGATGTCGAGAGTGTTCGCCCAGAGGAAACGAGAATAAAAATGTGACGCTCCTTTCAGCAAAAACACTACATGCTCTCTTCACTTCTTTTAGTGCTTTTCTTCCTTTCATGAGGGAAAAGGCAGAAATGTTTTCACTCTTCTAATCAAACAAGTCCATTTTTTTCACTAAACACATTTGTTCTCATTGTGAAGCATATACGTATATACAATGGGGTCCTAAAACAAAAATAATTTAAAAACATAATAATAATAATATTTATGTAACTAATCAGATATTCTCAAATCATGCTAGATGACATGCACAATCAGGCTTTGCACAAATCTGTAGAGATCAAGTGCTACTGATATTCAAGCAAATACAAAAAATATCAAATACAGAAACTCAGAAAAAGAATCTCAGTAAAATTGTTATGAAACTATGATAAGATATTATAAAACAAATCTTACATTTATTATAATATTAAAAAAAATTCTATTATGTTCACCAAGGCTGCATTTATTTGATCAAAAATACAATAAAAACAGTAATGTTTTGAAATATTATTACAATTTCAGTTAATAGGTTTTCTATTTTAATATAAATTAATGCAATTTCAGTGTCACATGCTCCTTCAGAAATCATTCTAATATGTGGATTTGCTCAAGAAACATTTCTTATTATTATCAATTTTGAAAATTCTTTTGCTGCTTAATATTTTTGTGGAAATCATGATACATTTTCAAATACATTTTAAATGCCTTTTAAATGTCTTTACTGTCACTTCTGATCAATTTATTGCATCCTTGCTGAATAAATTCATTTGTTTAGTGGTAGTGTAAAAAGAAAAATCACTTGTTATGAAACCTGGACCCCACTGTACATTCACATACACAGAAGTCATTATCTTCTTGACATTGAAGGTTATTGAGTCATAAATGCAGCACTCACAGCAGCTGCAGGGAGACCAGGCCATCAAACAGTCCCTTTGGGATCTCTGCGATTTTATTTCCATACAGGACCCTGTAGACACACACAGATATAATGTAAATAGAGAGCAATGAATCAGCCCACGTCTCAATATGTCTAGCCCATGGGCAACACATCAAGCGTGGATGTGTCTTTCTTAGAGGGGCTTTCATGTTTTTCAAAAAAAGTCAAAATCATGAAAGTGGTACATAAAACTAGTCCTCTGAAGTCATACGATACAATATAGCTGTATATAAGAAACAGACTGAAATTTGTCAGAAAAGTTACTGATAATGTTGTAAGAGAAAGCTGTTGTCTCAGAAAACTGGATCAATCTAATTGATGAATCAATCATGATCTGATTTAAATTTAATTCTTTTGAATTATTAAATAGTTTAAAACAATCAGATATAAATCTGTTATCAACAAGCCATGGAGAGTTAAGGCAGCTGTCAACGTTTTCAGTGAATAATGACTTAAATTTCAGTCTGTTCCTGTTACATAGCTATTGTACGGCTCATGAAGACATGAAATACAGTGCATGACTATTTTTATGACAATTTATGGTGTTTTGTGTCCTTTTGAAGTTCTCCATTCATAGTAAATGTGTTTTGTGTTCACAGAAGAAAGTGAGTTTTCATGTGAGTTCTGAGCGCCGTTCACTTTCGGCTGAACCATTCCTTCAACACACTCTAACTTCCGAGTTGTGTGTTTATGTCATCTCGCGCGTCCTCTTTACTTTATTCCTATTCCCTGAGAGACCGCAGCCCATCTTCCACCCCTCAGCGCCTCTTTAATCACGCGGCATGTGTAAATGAGCTCTGTCTCATGTACAGCTGTGTGGGCCGGACGCAGGGAGATAGATCTGACCAAATTAATATGCACACACTGAGGCTTCTGTCTCTCTCTGACTTGTTGAGGTGATTTAAATGAAAGTCCTCCCTTGTGTTCACGCTGCTGCAGATGTCAGCAAACGCACACACTCACACACGCACAGCGAAAGACACACACTCAGGCAGACAGTAGGCTCGTCTCCATTCTGTCAGCTGATTTATTCGACACCTGTCCTTTCACCTGACTGTTTACATTTACGCACGCCTATTATCTTTGTAAATGCATTACTATGCAGCTCAGGTGTATGAATGCTTGCATGTGTGTGTGAAAAACACTTACAGTGAAGTGAGCGAGCGCAGGCCACTAAACGCATCTTCTGCAATCTCGGATATGTGATTCTTGCTCAGGTCTCTGTAATGACATAAATAGAGATAATACGGCCAACTGTTAGACCAACAAAAGGATGGTTTGCACATTTGTCTGACAGGACGTCGATACTCCATAAATACCCAACGAACTCGATACTGAGGAGAAAAGAACATAAGAAACTGCCTGGTGATCATCATTAAACCTTCTCACATTAAGCTATCACATGACTTGAACTGGCGTGGAGCAGTTTTTAGCAATTAAACCTTGCAATGCCATGAGGGTGAACAATTAATGACTTGATTCTTTAAAATCTTCTGTTATGTAAGCTAGATTTTCTCAATTTTGGGTTGTTGGGGTGGAAATAAACTCTATAATGATTCGGTGAGAAGTGGTTGTGAAAAACCATACACAAATACATTTTTTCTCTCAGGAAGCCCAGATTTGTTTGAGTATATCCTTCAAAATACTGAGCTCTTCACGTCAAGGCATCACTGCCAAAGCAGAGGTGAGAAGATCTTATTAAATATCTGAATTTGAGTCTAAAATATAGATTTTCTTGTGCAGGGTGACATGCCTCTAGAAAGTGCTGTGCGTGTTATGAACCCTTCTACTTTTTTTTTTCAAAGTGGTTGACAGGAGATCACTTGCAGCAGGGTATAGAGTTCATGCATAGGCTGAAAAAGTATGAAAAGAAAGTGTGTATATTTCTAGATGTGTCAAAATAGAGGAATGTTTAGCTGATTTTAAAGTGCTTTTTGGATATACGTAAACTATCATTCAAAAGTTTGAGGTCAGTACGATTTTTAAAATAAATCTCTTATGCTCACCAAGGCTGCATAATAACAGTAAAATGGTTAAATATTATTATAATGTAAAATACCTGTTATCTATTTTAATATATTTAAAATGTAATTTATTTCTGTGTTTTTTCAGCATCATTACTCCAGTCTTCAGTGTCACATGATCCTTCAGAAATCATTCTAATATGCTGGTTTGCTGCTTAAGAAACATTTCTTATTACTAATGTTGAAAACAGTTGTGCTGCTTATTTTTTTCCAGGATTTTTTGATGAAAAGAATGGAAAGACCATCATTTTGTGTTGTTGTGTGTGGAAGTTCTTACATTCTCTTCAGTTTCTTGTACGTGGAAAACGCTCCTGCTGGGATGCTCTTGATCATGTTCTGCTCCAGACGACTATATGGGAACAGATGGATATGTTTTGTTACACAACACTGACTTTTCCATTACGCTAGTAATTGCATATAATAACATTATGAAACAAATATGGCATGGCAGAGAAAAGAAAACGATGTAATATTCCTGTAGGTGTTTCGCAAATGTACATGCACCATATCACATTTATTCCACTCACAACACAGATCTGCTGGTGATTTCATTTCTCAGAGTTTGAAAGCATGTGGAGGCGTGTTTTACGGGCCCACGCTTAAAAAATAAATGTTTCATTTAAAAGTTCCACAAATAACTTTGTTCTTTAGCTCTTTATGTAACCATCTATAAAACATTATGCTGATCTGAATAACCTAATCCCTTTTTACAATTTTTATTTAGAATGACTTCATTTATTTATTATTTTTTACTTATTGCAAACAGAACAATAGAGCAAGAGTGAATTAAATGTTCTTGATGAAACGAGGGTGCTCTGTCGAACCTAAAGTAATCAAAAGAGTCTTTCGCTGCAGAACCTTTTGTTTTTGAGAGTCTGGCTGGTACTTAATGCTCCTTCTGGAGGTCTACAGAGAAAGCCATTTAATGCTTTATGGCAGCCTGTACATTGGGTGTTCAATTTGTGTTTTGGCTCACTGGGATAAGAGGGCACGGAAAACAAGTCCCTGAGAAATAAGCACAGCTCTCTGCATGCTCTAGGTTATACATCATTTCATTAGCCCAATTTGTTTTTGGCCATGGGCTCGGATGGGCTAATGTGTCCTAGCCTGCATATCCATTTATTATGCAAAGGTCATACACTATTGACATAACAACAACAGTGAGGAACAGTACATATCAGGGCAATTACCTACCTGTCCTTTAGTGCAAATAAAAAGGATCTCTGAATCAATATGGATACCAAATACCCTGACCAAGACGATATGGACGTTCTCCAAAGCACGAGAACATTCAATCAGCTTGAGGCAAGACAGCCAAAACCCATCGAAAAACTCGAGTGTTTTCTTTGTAACAGTATGCATGTGTGTGAGCACACCGCTGCGCTGCTATGTGATCATTAAACATGACGTCCCAGCCTATGCGCACAGTGGAAATGTTGGCCTTGCAAATTTCCCATGCGCAACCAAAATGTCCTTGTTTATTGGAGGATACCGCAAAACCCCTTTTGGACGTTCTCTTGCATTTGAAGGACACCGAATACAGAAGTGGCTGGAACAACAACAAGGTCAGATATTTTCAGCGGCGGCACTGTATGAATTACATTAATTTGATTGCTTTTTAATAAGAATACTAAAGTTAATATGCTAACATTAGCATTACGCAAGCTAACATGCCCGGCACAATGAAGCAAAGGTCATATAAAAAAGTTAATAGGCAGAAAAATTGACAACAGCATTAATCTAAAGGTTGCTTTAAAAACTGTGGCTTTCTCATACAAATATAACCGAATTGCACAAAAAAGCCACAGTCATTAAAGACATCCAAAGACAAATACAGAGTTCTGGCATGAAACTCTAGATGGCGCAATCCGAAAGGTCTATCTCAATCTGACCTAATGACATCATTATCACATGGCACAGCTGATTGGTTCTCTCCTGTATCGGTATGAGCTCGCTCGCGGGGGTTATTTCATGTATGTTATATTTGCAGCAGCAATATTTCCTACATGCTCACAGCAGCATTTTGTGGATGTATTGGCAGTAGCAAGTCTCAGTCCTTGCTCTGCCGCAGCAGCGTAGCAGATCTATTCCGCCAAGACCAAATACATTAACATTGCCATGTACATTACCATGCCAATCCCTCCGAGAGTTGTCATGACAGAACTAGGGTTTTAGAGACCATCCTCCAAAATTAGTTTGAAATGGACATTCAAAAAATTTGACATTTTCTTAACATAACTATTAACTAGTGTTGTCAATCGATTAAAAAATTTACTAATTAATTGCAGTTATTAATATATAAATAAATAAATAGTTTATTCATAGTTCACACCATTTATTCTATTATTAATGATGGCCAGTCTCATACTGCAACTGATACCTGTATATACCTGTACCTGTAAATGAAATTTTCCCTCAGTTTTAGCCATTAATTATAGCCATTTAACATTACAGTATAATTGAAAGACACTATTTTTAACATTTAATAGGCTTTGAAAAGTAACTAAATTGTATATGCATAAACTATAAACTGAATATAGATTAATCAGGCTACAAATGTTTATCAGCGAAGAGCAGTGAGTGGTTTCTATTTTACTTCTGTTCTTTGATTTACATCGGTGACAGACTGCAGCAGGTTTCACTTTAAAAGCGAAATAGAACTCAATGCACTACTGGCACACTGTCTGAAGCCGCTTTCTGTGCACTTTCACGTGTCTGATGCCTATGTTCACGGAGAGCTGCTTCACAGACAGTGCGCCGGTACCAAATTAATAACATCTCTTTTGCGTTTTATCGTGCTTGGTAGCGTGTTAATATAGTCTACTGTAACGCTAGCCAAAGGATGCCAGGGAAAAAACAGTTGCTCTGTTAATTGTGTCAAAGACTTTTTAAAAGCATTAAACTGAAAAAAAAAAAATTGCACAATTAACACATTAATTTATTGTATTTCTTTGCTCTTTATTTAGTTTCTGACTGTTTACTTGAATGGTATTGGAACAGCTGTTGTATGCTATGATGAAATGTCACAGACATCGGTATCAATTACTAAAATGTTGGTATTTGGTAATCTACTTATACCAAAATTAGTACTTATATGAACTATATACTTAATAATTAAAAGGTCTATCTTTTCACATCATATCTCATATAACTTTAGCAGGCCTTGAATCTGCTGATAAATCACTCAGGGTTTCTGGACATTAGATTGGGCTCAGTATAACCCACCTCATTTTGATCCTTGACTGGTTGTCTAATTACCTAAACCGTGCAGACAGGATGTTGGACCTCCAGCAGCACTGAGCAAGATCTATCTGCAACTGCGGCATGATGTTAACGCACTCGCTAATAAGGCTGCTACACCGCACCGCTAATGGCCTTTGTTACATGACAGGCAGAGAAAGCCAGATCCCCGCACAGGCGATATCAGCGGTAAGTACTTATCACACAGGTAGATTTTACACAAATAGAGAAGGCGAATGATTTTGAGGAGTGGAATCCATACATTTCTACAATTCCCTCAGGCAGGTTGGCAGGAATCTCCGTCAGGCTTTTTTTACGGCAGTCTACGATGTTGTTGTTGCAGGTGCAGGCGGCAGGGCAGATGGACGCCTGGGGAGCGCATGACCTTGGCTCCATCTGAGCAGGACCTGGGGAGGAGGAAAAGATGGAAAAATAACAGATCAGGAGGAAAATTTACTAAAGACAACATGGTTTAATGACACAAGAAAGCAAATGGAGAACACAGGGAACATTAACATCCTTTTGAGTCAAATATGAATAGAACAGCATTCCTTCTAATAGTAGTTATAACTGTCATGTCACTTCTGTACAGAAGTGTGAAAATTAATATTAGTCCCAATAACAGAACAAATGAAGACGGTGAAAATAGCTTTTAATACAGTACATAATCAGCAAGAACAGACTCCCTGTTGTTTTATTGTCTTGCTTTGCAGCTTAATTAAGAAACGCTTTTTCTTGCAGCTTGTTTTGTGTTTGTGTTGGAGTATACTCATCAGTTGATTAATCAGAGGGGGAGGGAAAAGGGGCTTAATTAACAAGAGCTGAAAGTGAACTTTTTCACCAATGAAACCCAAAGGTCCATTAAGACATAGAATGTAAGGAGTGGCTTTAAAAAACAACACAATGAAAAGGCCCTAAGTGTTTACATTGAGCGTGATTTCACCAAGTACAACATGTTCCTGGATCAATATCCTTGTTGATCCTGGAACATCATTCCAATCAACCAATCAGAATTGAGAGATAACTTTTCAGGAAATGTCAGTTTTAGGCTTACAATCAGGATTAGGTGCTTCTACACCCTTGTTAATCAGCTATCATTTCCCTCTGATTTTAGGAATAAATTATGGGTAAGGTTAGGTTTAGGGGTAGGGATTGGGTTAAGTCTGTATTTTTGGATGGTAAACAAAAGATGTTGATCCAGGAACATGTTTTACTTGGCAAAATCAATTTACTTGTAATAGTCAACATTTGCAAATTAATTAATTACAAGTTTGAGAAAAAGACTGGTAGGACAAGGAAGGAAAGAAAGAAAGAAAGAAATATGTAATTTTTTTAAATAAAGAAAATTATGTAGACCCTATGTACAGACCTTTAAGATTTTTCCATTGTGAAATTATTCTCATGACAAATGTATTTAAACACTCCTATCATTTTCAATGCCATGATGTGGAAGAAAAAGAAGAATGTCAGAAGAGTATGTGTCAAAGTGGAATTTGTTGGAGTGAGTGAGTGAGTGAGTGAATGAATGAACGAAATAAAAAAATAATTTAATGAATAAAGATATAAATAAGTAAATAAATAAATATTAAATAGTAATCGTATAAATAAATAAATAAATAAATACATGTCTGTTTAGTTATTAACATCAGTGTAAATAATGTCAAATGCATAACTAAATAAATGCATGAATGCATAAACAAACAAACAAATAAACAAGGTACTAAAAGCAAGCTTAATTTCTTGCAAAATATGCTAAATGTAGTTTATAATAATATTTTTTTTTCTTCTTGTTTTAGTTGACAGGAGAAGGACATTCTGACAGAGAAAGTGAACACTGTGCCATACCTGTGCAGACAAATTCTCTCTTTTGAACATCAGGAACATTGAGACCTCTCATATGGGCGGGGGCCATGCACTGTGTGAAAGGGGCCAGCCCTCTCCTCTGCCGCAGCCAATCGGAGAGCCAGGACAGGTGGCAGTCGCAGTGCAGGTTGTTGGAGTGCAGGCGACTGGAGAGAGAGAGAGAGAGAGAGAATAATGAGGGACAGATAGTGAGACACTATCGGATAAAGGTCAGAGGAGGTTTATATGTCTAGCATGAAAGCTGGAGTGGATGATCCCTGAGAAATGTTGGGAAACAGAGCTCTCTGAAGACAGAATCAGAAGAGCAATGTTTACCACACACTCAATGTAATATTCCATCTGTCATATGGCATTTAAATGCAAAGGAGGAAGGAAATCGCCGCAGAGAACAAGTAAATATTCATAGGGAGAATCTCTATACAGCTTTGGTAACGCAGGCTCTGAATAACACATCTGAACTAGTGACAACACGAGTGTGATTGGGTCATTCTATTATACGGATGATAGTAACATCTCCGAGGAGACCACAGTAAAGCGCTCCCAAATCCCCAGAGCATGCACCCTCATTTCAACAAGGTCTTCAACAAATGGCACAGCTCCCAATAACACCTTAATATAAATCTCTCAAGGGCCATTACACGAAGGGTATGAGAGACACAGTTCAAAGAAAAAGTGGTGTCAGCGAATCAAAAGGCGCAGCTATACCGGTCAACACTGTCTGTAAATGAATTAACAGAGAGAATCCAGTTAGGAGGACAAAAACCCGCCATTGACGATTTCAGCAGGGGGCGATGGTTTTAATAGAGCTTTTCCCATTACAAATCCAGTATCTGGCCCCGTCTTTGCGGATTAATTACAGATGAGTGGGATTACAGAGATGGATGACATGAGGAGAAGAAGCCTCGGCTGCCTCAGGTGCATAGGATGAGCCGAGGACGGGCACGATGGGGAAGCTCCACGTGCAAGCACACTCTATCGACCGTCATGCACGGAAAATGACTAGCGGTAGGAGTGCTTTTCATTTGTCTGAGTTATTGAATGGCAAGCATCATGGGGTGATATCATTTGATCTAATTGAATGCACAAAGATAGTATGTCTGTAGAAGGTCGGGGAAAGGTGAGGCAAACTGGACTATTTCATCAGAAACCTGCAGCCAAACCACCATCCTACTAAATGGATTACCAGCATCTCTAAAAATTTGATTTAATAAGTTGTTTTTACGAGCAACAAATTCAATACAGATATATCAGGGATATTAGAGACAGAAAATTCAATCCAAAGGAACTGGGTAGCAACCAAAGCCTCGCTGTTGATAATTCAATACTGCCCAGGGAGCAACGCGCCCGGCCATCCGAGCATCAGCAAATTCAATCCCGCATGAGGGGTCTGGCCTGTCTGATGGGCTGACTGATGGGAGGGAGGCCAGACCGCTCGGCTGTGGAGCTCCAGCTATGGATGACTCTGAGTGCAGGCTCCAGGGAGAACGCCGTGACGGAAAGAGGAGGAGAGATAGATGGAAAAAGAAATGACGATAAACCTAAAGCCTTGTGTTTCAGACGGAAATTAAAACTCCCAGAAGCCCCGAAATCAAAATAGCGCTTACTCCTGACATATTTCTTTATTTATCCCTCTATTAGAGCCAAAGCTCTGAGAAGAACGACCACACTCGAATAATAACAAAAGCATCTCTGAGTCTTGTTAATATCGCAGGTCAGCCACATATTGGAATGAGGTTTGGGGACCGTGTAATTATTTATATCAATTGTGGTTTGGGTCTGACAGTGCAAACGCAGAGGAGCGACACAGGCATCTGTGTTAAGAAAACCATCTCGATATCTTCAGCTAAGACAATGTCTGCTTGCAAACAGACCACAGCTCTGAAAACTGGCACGGCATCACCACAGAGCCTCTAGTCAGGCAGCAAATCCTTTCAAAAAGAGTCAAGATTTAGAATGAACGTCACTAAATGTAGATAAATGAATATCTGATTGTATAGCATTACCATGAAGTGGACAAGAAGCTCCTCAGTACTTACAGAGTCCGCAGTTTGGGCATGTGGTTGAAGCTTGACAGTGGGATGAGGGTGATGTTGTTGTTGTTGAGAGTGCTAGAAGGAAAAGAAGAAAGAACAAATATTAGAAAAAGGCATTTACTTAGTAAACAGACAGCCAGTGAATCCAGATAACATTTGACAATACAGACCAGACCAGTGTTTTGCTGAATTCGCTGAACAATATACACATGCAAACCTGTTTCCTTACGAGTAGAAAATAAAAAGGTAATTGTTAGATAACATTTTTAAATAAGAAATAGTCACTGGGAGTAGTGCGTGTTATGGTCTGCAAAAGAATGATATCATCGATGATGTGCACACTTGTAATTATGGATGGCAGAGCTCTCTGCTTCCTGTCATACCAGCCACAGCTCTGATTAGCGCTACTTAGCTGACCTAATCTTGAAATCATTCCATCCCACCCCATAACCCCCTAACCTATCGCACACATGCAGAACACACAGCCTCCTGTACCCTCCACCTCTTGGAAAAGGGTCTGGAATTTCTCAATTTAGGATTTTAATAGTTCCTGCCTGGTGAGGGAAAACTGCTGATCTCTCTGACTTCGCCAATTTAGTTTACAGCTTGGGTTTGGGGTCTGAATATTCCTTCTAATGAATCCTGCAACGGTACTTCTTGAGTACAGTGCATCCATGATTTACATTTATGGATTTGGAAGATAATGAATTAGGTAAAAATAAACTTTTTTTGGGAACTGAACCCATGACCTTGTGTCATGCTATACTCTTTAAAGGGATAGTTCACCCAAAAATGACAATTCTGTCATTAATTACTCACCCTCATGTCGTTTCAAACTCGTAAGACCTTCGTTCATCTTCGGAACACAAATTAAGATATTTTTGATGGAATCTGAGAGCTGTCTGACCATCCATAGACAGCAACACAACTGAAATGTTCCCAAGTCTAGAAACGTAGCAAGATCTGTAAAATAATCCATCTGACATCAGTGGTTCAACCACAGTTGCACGAAGCTACGAGAATACTTTTTGTTGATGAACGAAGGTCTTACGGGTTTGAAACGACATGAGGGTGAGTAATTAATGACAGAATTTTCATTTTTGGTTGAACTAACCCTTTAAGTTACAGGAAGACAAGCAGTCCCATAGATTTTGGTATTAATCCCAGAGCCCACTGACTGATCAGACCAGCTGCTGGTCTTGCTTTTTATTCAAGGCCAGTTAATTTAGTCTCAACACAAACAAGCTATTTACACTATTGGAGTGATCAGATTTACAATTCTGACCAATGGAAATTTCCCAGCCCGAGTCCAATTCTTGGTACTATAAAATTGCACAAATCAGAGGAAAACTAATCCCTCTAAAATATAACATTCTTGCGGGACTTTAAATTATTTCTGAATATTGATTTTGGCTCGGATCTGTGGTGGAACACTTTATTATGAGTGAGGAAAAGAAGAAAACTTACTAAATGGAATGGAAAATTATTGCTATTCTACACATAGACACAGACAATTCCACACAAATCACACACAGGGTGAAGGAGGAGTTGACCAAATCCGCACCAGAAAGCGATCCTCTTGTCAAGGCCGCTGTGGCTCAGAGGTTTCATTTCTGGTCTCTGCTGCTCTATAGTGATGTAAATAGATGAAGCTCTGGGCAAGCCGGAGGGAGGAACGCCCTGGTAAAAGCCTGTAATACTAAACCATCACCAAGGGAAAATGCAATTTGCTCAGGAAGGACTATCTCCCTTCTAAGAAACCTTGGGAGCATCCTCCAAAGTTAGGTGAAGTAAGAGAAGAAAATAACAGAACATAAATGAATACACGACTGAGAACTGAAGAAGGACTGCTAAAGAGAGAACAGGATCCACAGAGAGCGGCGAACAGCTTGTGCTTGCTGTGGTAGTGCTCTCTCGCTCATTCATATTTCAGCCATCCGGTTTCCAGGTTTAGAAGCTCTGAGTAAAAATAAATCTCATATAGATTTCATTCATGCAGTCGTAATTTGAAAAAGCTGGAGCCGGACAGGGCATCACAGTTACTTTAAGTCGGCTTAAACCTGACATGTTCATGCCGAGAGCCATGACCTTTGGTGTCAGACTGCACCTGTTAATATGGACTTCTCTGGTATGAGTTAAGCTTTGCCACAAGAAACATTGAGCAGTGGACCAAGGGTCTTATAGAAGAGCCCACTGGAGAGACGCTGTCTTACGCAAGACTGTCAGTCTTCCCTTTATCCAGCCCTCCGCACTGCAGAGGGCCGCCCACTGCTGCAGCGTGGGATCTCAGCAAATAACAGCACAGCGTGAGCGGCTCTTGTTAAAGCCACTTGTGATAATTGAAGATCACCTTGAGTCTTTAAAATTCCTTTGTCTTCATCGCCGGCAATATTAAGTCATTCCGCCTGTGTTGCCTTGTGGTTGACCATAAATCAAAAATGTGTTAAGCAAAATCAACTGCTGCAGGGAAGGACCGCATCCACAGTGTCTCCTGAGAAAGTGCATCCAAGCCGAAACGAAATGAAATCAATGCCGGATCCTGACAAATACCGCGCTGTACGGCTTGACTGTGTAACTTTATGATTTTATTTAAAGCTCTATTGATGCAGGCGTCAATAAAAGCGGGCAGCTGTTAATTGCTCACAACGCTTAGTCTTCAGACCGTCTCAGAGGGGCACGTTTTCTTTTTACTTCCCTTTTCTTTTCTCAGCTATGTCAAGAAAGCTTTCCCACAGTCGCAAAAAGCTTGACAGTGGGGTCTTGAGTGCTCTTAGGCTTTTTTCAGGCCCTCATTAGAGGGACTTGGAGAGGGTCTCTGGATACTTCACTCCTAAAAGATGGCTGGGTTTTCAGAGCCAGGACATTTCGAAATAAAAGTGAGGTTGTTTTGGTGGATGCAGGGGGCTGAAGGGAAATAACTGAAGTGCTCCCCCGCCTGACTTGGGGCCATTCACTTGCACAACTGAGAAATCATGAGGCAAAGACGTGTTATTTGACATGACAGGCTTGAGGAAAGTCAATACCCTTCCTTTGAGTGTATAACTGTCCTGGTAACTGACCCTTATTCTAAATCGCTTTGGTAAGAAGACTTGCGTTCATTTATATAAACGTAAAGGTTGAGGGTTTTCTGCTCAACTTTTTGTCTTCTCAATCCTTTGTCTTTTGTGGTGTAAAATCAGGTGCGTTTGCAGAGGGCCTACCTTTAGAAAGTAAGGGAATATACACAACCTTGTCTTCATACGACCATTCACTTACTATCTTGCAAACTCGAGTGAGCCAACATGTCTGTGATGTTTCCATGGCAAACTATTATCGCTACTACAGCATAATGGTGAGTTTGCAATGCAAGCGTCCATCCGAGCAACCATTTACAGGGCATCCCTGTGTCGGGTCCTCGAGTCAAAACAAATGAGTAAAGTGCCTCCAGATGGAGATCAATTTCATTATGAGACTCCACTTGTTGCAGTGTGATGGAATTCATGTGAGCAGGATGGAAATCTTTGCCATTGTTTTGCTTAGCATCGCAAGTTCAGCTACAGCACAAAGATGTTATGTACATCAGATGTTTTTCCGCTAATTCAAATAAACCCAGTGAGGATAAACACAGAAATAACATGATCTGCCACGCATAATCCCATCCATGTGGTTTGTGTTCAAGTGTGGGCTTATTAAAAAAAAAGAAACACTAGTGCTTAGTATTTGTAACAAAAAAAAGGGAAGCTTTATGGCTGTATAAACCTATCCGTTGCCTCCTCTGAAAAGAGAGAAAGAGCTCTCCATCCCTCCATGGTGCAGAGGACGGGAGGAGAAGCGAAAAGAACAGGCACTACAGCAAAAACAGACACGCTTCCACCGCCATTGATGAGGCCATTATAACGTAAATGAGGATAGATTGAATCTAAGCTGTTCCGTCTGCCTCCCTCCTCTCTTTGGCCATCCAGGAGTGAATGATTAATTGTGCACACGGGTCCGACTGCTGAAACGTACGATTTCCAGCCTGCCCCCTCCCCATCTCCCCGAGCTTTGGCGTAGACCACACGAAGATAACGCAATGGGGCCATGTCTGGTGGCAAGGCAATTTCCTGTGCTTGAAAGTACTGTTTGTGAGCTAATGACAGTTCTCTCCCCCTCCACTCCCCTAATCCATCCTCTCATTTAGCCATCAGCTTGCCCTTTCTCCCTCCGCCTGCCTGTTGTCTGTCACATAAAGACTCATCTATTGACTAAAGACAACCTTTCAATCAGGCCTTGCAGAAGTAAGGCTGATTTGTCCAGAGGGAGGCCAACCCGTGTTAGAAATTAAAGATGCATTGAATATCTGATTCAAGGGAATCCGTGCTCTCGAGTTCCCAAAGAGGGAATTGTTAAATCTGAAAAGAGCTAATGTTTTGTACGGGAGCACAGGGGTTAGAAATGATTAGGATAAGGGGCGGCGGGGGCCGAAAAGGAGCAAAGCGCAGGGTTATCGTTGCCAAGAGGAACACTCAAAAGGTCTTGCATTGAGAAAATGACATTATGAAGGTAGAAAACTGCCAAACCATAAGAAAATTATAGTTCTCAAACCTTACATATGAAATACACTGTATTTTGTTCGTAATGCATTTAGGTTTCGATCAAATGCCCCCCCAATACAATCCCAGGACATCTACATAACCACAGAAATGTGATAGCTTCTTCCATTCAGCATTTTTCCAAGTTCTTGAGTCTGACAGCGTGGCATTTCATAACCAGGATTAATAATCCACCTCCTCACGCTCCCTTACACAATCAGCGTCTAATCTGACAACATACTGCAAATACTCAGATTTACCCTGGTTGGAATTTCGTGGCATGCTATTGCACTACAAGTGAGTCTCTTTAAATGAAAATGTGAAAACCTCATTAAGTGAGCACATCTGTGGATTCAAAAGGAGAAGAGGCCGTAGTACATAGTGGTGCATATTGACTGGTGAACCAAAAAGACGTCCCTTTGGGGCACGCCGCCCATGCTATCATGCTAAACTCACTTTAGTTCGACCAGCGAGGTCTGTGCCAAGCTGTCGAGAAAAATGTGCCGTGCACACATTGACAAATGACAGCATTTGGCAGGAGGAGAGGACGGTGGTAATGTGAAAATTTGGGCCTTCTTATCAATGCATGGTGGGAGGGAAAGTCACCTTCAGGAGATGGCACGGAAATGTCTCGGCACTCTCCTGCTCATAAAAAAATGACACAGCGGGGCAAAAAATTTCACATGATTTGACATTTGATTCAGAGCCAGAATTTTCTGTACAAAAGTGGTTATAAAATATGCAGAGGCTCCAGCGCTTGTGAGAGTGCTGTGTATAGACAAAGCTGAGTGGGGTATATGGGGAATTTCCAAAATGCTCTTTCTCACAATACTATAAATTCCCTTCTCACATTTAAACCACATTTTATAAAATAGCCCTGAAGGACGATTATAAAACTTGTGAGCGATTCCACAAAAGATCCAAGTGTTTAAACAGCAAGTGAACATATATTTTGCTTAGCATAATTTGAAACAGATTGTGTGAGACTTTCTTATTGTCTCTTCATTGTGTGCTTAGCACGATAAGAACATACATCAGAACAAAATGTGCTTACCATAACCCTGCTGAAAAATAAATCCGCTTGAATACTTGACCAGGTGGACATTCTTCATGCTTTCTTTGGCTTTATGAATTTTTTAATGAATAACTGGCCAAACTCATGCTGAATATACCTATTTTGAAGTATAGTTTTAATTTTTTTGTTCTCCTTACTATAAGAAAGGTTAAAAAGTTACAGTTTTTTTTTACGCTTAGACCATGCCTTCCAAACATCAACTTTATTTGTTATTTTTAAACAGCGATTTTTCATTTCACCTTAAGTACTTGGCTAAGGAATCATATTAACTACAATTTTTTTAACACGCTTAACCAAATTAAAAAATAATTCTGTATATTGACAATGGTGTATGTATGAAAATTGAGTTTCAGGCACATACCCTTGAAAAATATTCAGTTATTCTTACACCACATGAAATCTCATTTATATTATATATGAAATTTGATTGGATTTGTCTTTGTAAAATTAGAAATGAGAAGCGCTACCAACGTTCACGGTTATTAAAAGCACCAACTTGAATTTCATGAATATAATAATGATAAGGTGGACACCTTATAATGCACATTTCCACACAGTCCATCTACATTTAAAGCAAGAATGGAAAGATAAAAGGGCCTGATTTGGTGTATATTTAAAAAAAAAAACGATCAGAATGAAAAATGAGAGGAAGCGCAAGCAGTTCCTAAGTATTAAATGAAAAATAATCAAGGGGTGCTCCTTGTTAGGCAGGTTTAGGTGCTCTGCAGATGGAGAACACATCGATGTGCTGCCTACCACACTTCCTTCAGCTCATTGGAATGCAAGTCACGTCCTGTGTGAGAAAATGTCCGAGATAGCTTTGAAGTCATTAGTTCAGTCATTAGCGCAGTTATGTTAAATATAAATTACAATTCATCAGCAGAAAGGGTCGATCATTAATTCTGTGTAGTTTGGCAGGCGTTAAATCACTAGCAGTCATTTAGTTGTGGAGGAGGGTTAGCCACGAACCACTCTGTCTAATCTCCACTCTGATCACCATCTCTAAACCTGATGGAAGTGTTTAATAACTCCCCGCTTTGAAATTTTGTTAGTCGCTCTTTATGGTGATCACCAAAATTTTACAGTGATCACGAAAACCCAACAGTGCATGATGGGAAAGGATGCTCAAACCTCTCAATTATGTCGCAGTGCACCATCTATTTTAATAGGCCTTTAATGATCATTGAAATTAAAAGATTCAGTTGGCCTCCTGAGTTATGCTTAACACACCGCGCTCAAACAATGTATTTAATATGACCCCTAAATTACACAAAGTGCACTCTGAATTGCAAAAACACACATTAACATCACATTTTTAGAATGTTTATCATTCGTTCTTTTATTTATAACTCCAGATGTCAAATTATACTGATCTACTTTGAAAAAAAAACACACACACGCTTGCCCTGAATTCACATAATCCAGCACTGTTTTAAACACAAGAACTAATGTGGCTGAATGTGTTAATGATGTCTACAATCAACAATCCCTGGACATTTCTAAAAGCATAAATGAACCCTTAAAACTCCACTACTTCTGCTTTTTACACCATTATGACATCACACTGAGTCATAATACTCTTTGGCGATACAAGAGATGGATCTCCATCTGCTGTGCTGCCATTCAGAAAGATCAGTCTTAAGACAAAAGTTAGTCCGGACTATAATATAACTTATGTTGGAAATCGTTTAGTGTCCTCACACTGAGACTCACAGCATTAACACCTGCGGCGAAATTGCTATACCTAAACATTAATTTCGCCATCAGTTACCTAGAGGTGTCATATTCTCACAAGCTGGCTCTGTAGCACAGCCTTAACATTCAGCCGTATGTTGAATCTGCTACTGGAGAACATGGATTTAAGCTTGATTATTGCGCATGGGGTTATTTTGCCATGATACAGTGTCATTTGCAGACCTGTGTGTTGCAGCCTCTCCAGAGGGGTGGAGAGATGGCTCAATCAGCAGGAAAGTGATGTGTATTCATGTGCCAAGCTCTCCTTGGCTTGCCGGGGTCCCAAAGGTCTTTGGCAGAATCTAGGGAGGTTCTGTATTATTAATGAAAATTGATTCCCGACTTACTCACACTTTCCTGCTCCCGAGCTCCTGTTTTATAAGGTAATTTTATGCTCTGGTCACGAGGAGAGGACAAAGGACACGGAATAGTTTCCTATCTTTCCTTCTTTGATTCTACCTTCACCTCTAGCTAACACTGCCGGAGAACCTGCCTAACAATGATGTAACGCTGTGCTGCTTTGTCCTATGGAGCCAGGAATTAATAGAGGGGGTGGCTTGGCTCTGGGTCCCCAGTGAGCAGCGCTGCACTTAGTTTGGCACTTAGCACCCTGCCAATTGGCTTGATGGGGATGCGGCGGCGGCTAGCCCCCATCCCCCCCCCTCCGTATATCCTGCTTCCAGTCTTGCATCCTCTCCGGGACAATCCAGGGGACACCCAAAGAAAAAAAATTAACTCACTCACAAACACATCAAATCTCTTCTCTGCTATCAAAGCGTTTACTATAAACTCTGACTAAACCAAAAAAAAGGTCTTCCCAGCAGGCAGCAGAACAGAGATCTGAGCATCTAACTGAGACTAACACCTGCTTTAAAGTAGGAAGTGCAAATCTACAGACATTCTAATCAGAAAACGCTGTGCTTTTAACGCTAATGTGCACCCGGCAAAGTCAGGACACTTTTTCAAGCGCCAACAATGCAGCACAGGATGACAAACGAGCAACTTTAGCTGTTGCACGGACGATTGCATGCTAAGCGCCACTGTGTCGGACCAGACGGGGTGACACCGGACTATGCGCCACAGGTCCATAACGCAACACAGTTTGTCCTTCGAGAGCAATCAAGAAACACAGAGACAGAGTTAGAGGAATGGACAGCAGAGGTGAAGAGAGAGGAGAGAACCCCGCAGAGGAGGCAGGAGGGGGACTCACAGTATCTCCAAATCGCGCAGGGCTCGGAAGGCTCCATCTTCGATGCAGCTGATGTGGTTGCTGTCCAGTTGCCTGCAGATGAGAGACAGAAGTCAGTGGCAGGTCTGCAGACGAGCGGGTGGGGGCTGAGGGGAGGGAGGGAAGAGGAGGAGGAGAGGTGGGGGCTGCGGGAGGGAGGTAGACACACTAACACACACTCATATCTACACTCCTCTCCTCACCGCAGTCGGGATAAAGGACCAGCTGGCTAAAAGTGGCCTGTCTGGCTATAACCTCCTCCTATCTCGTCCTCTCTCTCTCTCTAGCCACACTGCAGAGTGTGGGGGCAAAGAGAGGTAAAAGAGAGAGAGAGAACAGGAGGCTGGCTATAGTGCACATCCCACCCCATCTGTCTGTTCTCTGTAAATATTAATTGCATTTTCTACCCCCCCAACCCCCCCCTTCTTCTTTTTTTTAAGTCAGAAAGGGAGTAATTTCATTACATTAGAGCAGCCAATCCATTACAAGCTTTTACCGGCTCTGTCACAGAAACAATTTCATTAAAGGAAGGGGTTCGTAAATCAGGGTCATGATGCTGGATGGGCAGACACGAGGGGCACTTCTTCCTTTTTGCTTCTTTTTCCTTTTCCTTTAATTTGCAGACTTTGCCATCCACGCCTCCTTCTCTCTATTTGCCCCTCCCTCTTTGAGATGGATTTGAAAGAGGCTTGAATAAAGAACAAGGAATCTAAGCGCTTTCCTTAAATCATTTGTTCGGCAAACAGAGCTGTGGTGACATCTGACCCGTGACAGACACGGTGCCTTCGCGTCTTTAGAGACGGATAATAAAGAAGAACGGAGCTTCTCTGGCGTGTCTTTCACTCCATCCCTTCTTTCTAAAAGACATGCATCTGTCTCCATAATTGCTGATGGGACAGACTATATGGCAGCCACCCACTGCAGATGCATTAACCATCACTCTGAAAACTAAATAACCTACATGAGCAAAAGTAAAATGTTTGTCTTTTACGATGGATATTTTTTCATCCAAAGTAAATTAAGACTTTAAAGAAATGCTTCCCTTGAGAATTAAATAATAAGCCAGTGCTTTTATAAAATGACAACAACAATTATATACTGTAAATGATATCTACAATATTCATTTGTTACAAAAACTGTAGCAAGTGTGTTTTTATTTACACTGATACTTACACAAAACTTGCTTCATTTTGACATATGGACATCGCTGAAAATTACAGTTCATTAAGAGAGTCAGATGTTGATTCATTAACCATTTCAATCAATTCAATTCAGTAAATGATTTGTCAAACTGATTCAACTGAACAATTCATTAAAAGTATTGGCTCATTTGTTAAGGCTACACTAAAAAGAACTGGTTCATAATACCATAATACATGTTTGCTCAAGAATCAGGGTAGTCTGGTCTGCTTGTTTTCGCATATAGCCTGTGAGGACAACTCAGCAGAAAGACTTTTTGTCATTAATTGATGGGACGCAGACTTTTTATTTTACAAAGCAGATATTTCTATTTAAATGCTTTAAAAGAATGGCTTTTTAGAATTCATATCACAAGAAGTACCTTGAGCTATAATTTTTACATTTACATTTAAGCATCTGGCAGATGCATTTATCCAAAGCAACTAACATTGCATTCAATCAGTCCATGCATTCCTTGGGATCTGAACCCATTACCTTGACGTTGCTAGCAATATGCTTTACTGCTTGAGCTACAGCAATGTATTTTTCTATACATAAAGGTGATTGAAACCTTATAGATTTTCTACAACAGCGGCCTCCCAACAAAACCTGCTCCAAAATCTACTTCCTCACAGTTAATTTGTTAATAATAATCTCAATATAGAAAATTCCACAACAAGTAATGTAGTTAATTTGCCGAACAGCATGTGATATTGTGGTAACTTGGCACATTATATTTAGAATTCAAACGTAGCTCATTCAATCAGATTTCAGAGCCATAACTGTCTGTATTTGAACACATGAAGTTGATCTCTAGAGGATGTCATTATGATCATGCGCAGGAGACTTTTAACAATGGTAATACTGAGCATAGTCAAGGGTGAATAGTTGTCTTGAATGTACATATGTGAGCGTGTGGTCTATGCGAATATCTGCGTGTTTGGTGATTGTTTGGAGAGGTGGGACATGGTAGTGGTGGGTAATGAAAGTCCCAGTTTTAATTTTCCTGCTCTAATTACATTGGCCTTTAATCATCTCAGTCATGAGCCGTATTGGCACTTTAGAGCTCCCGTCTTGCCAGTGTCCCATCTGGAGTGAACGCGAGAAAGAAACAAATATTCCTTCCCTTCACTAGACAATTAATCTGTCAGAGTCAGTGATGCTAACCAGCAGCCGCATGGCCGTATTTCATTCACGCTCGATAGATAACACAGCAAATGACCCAGAACTGACCGTCAGTACAGCCAGGATGATGCTTGATCATAGCTGCAAAATATGAATCTCATACTCAGTCTAAAGTCGTAACAGATATACAGTATGTGGCCTTTCATGGCCGCCAAATCAAGTGTGTTTTGCGGATTTGTGTCTGTATCACACCACTGATGCCTCGCATCTTCTTGTCTTTTCTGGTTTTATTTCACTTTGATTCATCTCATTGAAGCCCTGTTCACACTACAAGCGACACACTCCCATTCATTTCAATGGAGAGCTGGCGATTTCCGATGACAAGTGCGACAGCGGCCGTTGGCGACGGATGGGGCACGTCCAGCGACGCAACAAAGTTCAGAATCCTTCAACTTTATGCAAATGAAGAGCGACTTTCAGGAGCGACAGCCAATAGGAAGAAGACGGCAGAGCTCATGTGAGCCGTAGATAAACATACACAATGGAAAAAAAGTAGGCTCTGTTTCTCATTCATTTTTGTTTGCATGTACGGATTTAATTAATTTTATTATATTTAGTCTTTTGCAGCCAAAATGTTTGTATTTAGCGGCAAGAAACCTGATTCATTGTCGAGGCAACCAGTAGTGAGAACGCCCACTAGTTAACCTCATCGCCAGCCCCTGGCGACATGCAGCTGCTAGTGTGAACGCAGCTTCAGTCTTGTCTCTTTTCCTCACTTCTCTTCCAGTCTCATCTCACTTTGTGTCTCATCTCATTTCTTCTCTTCCTGCCTTGTCTCACTTCTTCTCATCTCATTTTGTCTTTGGTAGTCTCTCATCTTTTCTCTCATCTCACTTTGTATCTTCTCCTCTAGTATTGTCTCCATCTCATGTTTGTCTCTTCTCTTTTCTGCTTGCTTTATCATTCCATCTCATCATAAGTAATCTCTTCTAGTTTTATCTCTCATCTCTTTCTCCTCATCTCATAATTTTGTCTCTTTTCTCTTTCTCTCTTCATTTTTTTGCTTCATCTCACCTCATCTATTCTTTTCTTGTCAATTCTTTTCACCTGATCTCAACTGGTCTCTTCTCATCTACTCTCCTTGTCTCAGTTATTTTCATATCTCCCTTCCTTTTCTTTCAGTCCCATTTTGTCTTATCTTATTTTATTGTCACTTCTCTTCTCTTATATATATTTTTCTCATAATTTCCTTTTTCTTCCTCTCTCTTCTAGGCGCATCTTGTCTTTTCTTTCCCAGTCTTGTCTTATTGTCTCAATTCATCTGGTCTCATTTTGTCTTGAGTCATAATGTTTCGTCGAGTCTCATATTGTCTCATTTCGTCTGGTCTCATATTGTGTCAATTCATCTGGCCTCATTATCTCATGTTGTCTTGTCTCATATTGTTTCATTTATTTTTGTCTCATATTGTCTCAATTCATCTGGCCTTATATTTAATTTAGTCTGAACTCACCTTGTCTCATGTTATCTCAATTAATCTGGCCTCATTATCTAATTTTGTCTCGTCTTATATTGACTAATTTCATCTGTCTCATATTTCATAATCTAGTTTTGTATCATTTCATTTGGTCTGGTCTCATATTTCCCCATTTTTTCAATTAATCTGTTCTCATCATCTCATTTTGTCTTCTCTCATTGTCTCTTTTTCATCTGGTCTCATATTGTCTCATTTAGTTGTGTCTCCTATTTTCTCAATTCATCTGTCCTTATGATCTCATTTTGTCTGGTCTCATTTCATCTGGTCTCATATCATTTAATTAAGTCTGGTCTCACATTGTCTCATTTCGTTGTGTCTCCTATTTTCTCAGTTCATCTGGCCTCGTTATCTCATTTAGTCTTCTCTCATATTGTCTAATTTCATCTGGTCTCATATTGTTTAATTTCTTCTTGTTTCTTCTATGTCTAGTCTTCTGTTTCATTTAGTCTGGTCTCATAATGTCTCATATATTCTCAATCCATCTGTCCTTATTATCTCATTTTGTCTTATCTCATTGTTTCTTTTTGTCTGGTCTCATATTGTCTCATTTCATCTTGTCTTATATTTTCTTAATTCATCTGTTCTCATTATCTCATTTTGTCTTATATAGTTTCATTTCATCTGATCTCATATTGTCTCATTTTGTCTAGTATATTGTCCTAATCGATCAGAAGAGCATTCTCAGTGTGGGTGGGTGTCCTGAGAAAGTGTTTCCCAGAGCTGGAAAACATTTGATTGGCTATCTTGGCATCAGTGCCATTCACAGCCCATCTTACACGGAGCGTGAGGTGTGTGTTTCAACACCAGCAGTGCACATCAAAAGCCGAGATCTGCCGTCTGCAGAGTCCCGTCTGCTGGGCGCAGAAGCTTGTAAAGCAGACAGTGACCGCACCTCGTCCTCTCGGCCATAATTCAAACCCACGCGCAGTCAGACTGACATTCTGGGTACAGGAGCATGAAGTACAAAGGCTTTTATTAGCACCCAGATGAGAGCCTCCCACAAGGGGACAAAAATTGTCCACGTATCTGATGCTGGGTAATCATACAGGACACACTGCTCTCTCAATTACACCTAGGCTTCAGGTGATGTAGTATCATGTACCCTGCATGTGCCGACACCATTTGGCCTCTCCATCCGCGGTGAATAACAAATGTCAACAGAACGAATACGTGTAAGCCCATGAATCCACTGCTCATACAGCACCTGTTCTAATGGGATCCGTACCCCGCTGACACAAGCATGCCATGTTGATATAGAGCTCATCAGGCATGTTTTCGGACTCGCAGTGCACATGATGAGGGAATCTACAACATCACCCGCACTCGATGCTTCTCGAGGTTAACATGGCCGGCGTAGCATGTCTGGTGAACAGTAGGAGGGCACAGCTAAAGCCATAAACGCAGACAGAGATATTGTGTCTGGTTTAATAGGGTGCAACATAGACTCTCGTTAGCAAGAGGAACCATCTTGACCATATTATCCAGATGGCCCCTCTATAAAGGGTGGAGGATGGTGGCTGATGGCGGATGCTGACTCCAGCATGCTGTAGCCTGTAAAACTGTGGAGATGCGAGGACGATATATAAGAGACGGAGATTCAACATGCCCTCAAAGCGTGCATAGCCATTTTCAAACAGAGGACATTAAGGTAGAAAAGCCTATGAGAAAATCAATTAATTCCTGGAACACTGCCTGTCCATTTTTTTCCACTCCTTCCCTTTAAAAAACCGAGGGCTGGATGATTTTAGCAATTAAATCAAGAGTCACCTTGCCACGCATTGCAGAGGCAGGTCGGTGGGAGAGAAACAGGCAGCGCTGCTGACGTACAAATCCATCCTTCTCCCTCAATCCTCGTTAGCCCTTTTTTCTTCTAAAAAGCCCTACCTGAAGAAATGAGTGTTGCCTACCTGTACCTATCATTCATCCATCAGAGTGTGACGGTGCACATGACAGTGATGTGATGAGCGCTCAAACACTGCCGAACATCACAGACATCACTGTAAGAACGTCAGGGGAAAACGTGTTGAACAAAAATGCTGGATGTGTGTAAGGGATTTGAAAGCTTGCAACTGTTGGGGAATGTTACACTTTAAAGTAATGCATTACAATATTATCTATAAAATGGGACTAATAACGTGCTAAATTTATTTAGTATATACTGTGTATACAGTACTCAAAATGTATCATGCACCAAACTGTTAAATTTTTGACCACTCAAATTTCAATAAATATACAGACAAAAAAATTATTTCAACGTTATGGCCGATAACAATAATTCCATTCTATTTTGTCTAAATTAATGTAAAAATAGCACTCCTAATGAAAAAAATGGCAAGTGAATTTAGAAATTAAAATTGAATTTGTCATATAGTGTGTATAGTATATATTGTGTTACTTAAAGGGGTCATATGATGCAATTAAAATTTTTCCTTTCTCTTTGGAGTGTTACAAGCTCTTGGTGCATAAATATCTGTAAAGTTGCAAAGACTAAAGTCTCAAACCCAAAGAGATATTCTTTATAAAAGTTAAGAGTCAACCACGCCAACCTAAAATGCCTCGTTCTAACACGCCCCCACGTGTCTACGTCACGATGTGGGAAGATTTGCATAACGCCGCCCAAATGTTCACGCAAAGAAAGAAGGCACAACTTTTATTCTCGCTGTAGTATTGTTGTTGCCGCCGCCGCCGCCATGTCCTGAAGACGCAGTGTGTTTCGTTGTGAAAGCGAAACTACTTGATTTGGCCTTCCAAAAGAGGATGATATCCGCTTTGTCATGCCTGGAGCTGATCCGTGCTGGTCTCTGAGGAAATACATCAACTTTGCGCTGTGGATCGCCGGATCAGCTTTCACCGTGGACGAAGCGGAGTCCAGCCCAGGGTCATCACATGTGGTCTCATCGAATCCGCCGGCCGCGCCGTTCTTAAGACTGCCCGCCACCGCTCACTCAAGCCCGCCGATCACAAATGAAGACATGGTTTTATGTTTACAAGACTGTTTAAGTCATTAGAATCCGTAATTATGTCCCCACTGGATGCAACAAACGCCTCATTTATAATGGGTTTTAATGTTTTTGTCTCGTCGCTCCGGCCGGGACACGGCATCACAATATGGTGAGGGGCGTAACATTTCCGTCACACGCTTGAGGTATTCGGCCAATCACAATGCACTGGATAGCTGGCCAATCAGAGCACACCTCGCTTTTCAGGCCGATGAGCTTTGTAAAAATCAGAAAGGCGGGGCATAGAGGAGAAACAGTAATGTACAGTATGTGGAAAATAATGTGTTTTTTGAAACTTAAACCGCATAAACACATTTCATTACACCAAATACACCAAATAATGTTCTTTTTAGCAACATCATATGACCCCTTTAAAAAAATTATAAAAAAAAATTAATGTGTGCTGAGTTGCCACTGTGGCATTGTGATTTATTTCAAGTTACAACTGAACAACTAAATAATAACAAATACAAAACAAACAAGCAAACAAATAAATAAAGTTCTGTCATGACAACTCTCGGAGGGATTGGCATGGTAATGTACATGACAATGTTAATGTATTTGGTCTTGGCGGAATATATTTGCTATGCTGCTGCTGTGGCAGAGCAAGTACCGAGACTTGCTACTGCCAATACATCCACAACATGCTGCTGTGAGCATGTAAGAAATATTGCTGCTGTAAATATAACATACATGAAATAACCCCCATACATGAATCATCTCGTAGCAGATCTATACAGGTGGAGCTAGGGAAGGTGGAGGGTTCTGAAGCAAGCTGCAACTGCTACGGCAAGCACTAGTCATATATTTTAATGTTGAGAAGCGAGCTCAATCAGCTGTGCCATGTGATAATGATGTCATTAGGTCAGATTGAGTTAGACCTATCGGACTGCGCCATCTACAGTTTCATACCAGAACTCTGTATTTAATAAAAAAAATATATATAAAAGCGTAATTATATTTAAAAATTATTATATTGCATAAATATTACAGTGTAAATTTTACAATCAGCATACTACCATCAGGTCATCTGACGACACACATTGCTGCATATGCAATGTTACCCCCAACACTGTTCTCCATAACATATTACGTGTTTGCAGAGAGTCATTGACCAGCGCAGATGATTGACGACACTCCTGCATGCTGGAACTCATTTGACAGGGGTCAGTGAGGTCAGAGTCAGTATTGACATTCAGTTAACTCAATCTGACCAGGGCGGGTGTTAGGCAACATTCATGCACATGCATCATTCTGAAATACAGTGAACCAAAAGACCACCCTGCCCTGAATACACTGTAAATTATACAGATCAGGTGTGGCACAGTGGCAGATGTACAGTAGGCTTGTAAGTTAATGGTTGAGCATTCAATCTCATGAGCTACCACCATTGTGCTGTTAAATCTGTTGTAAATATTCTTAAAGCTGCTTTGGATAAAAATATCTGTTAAATGACTACTTGCTTAGCACTCACTACTGCTATATATAATTGGGCTTCTCAAACTCTCCCACCTCTTCACATTTTCCCCTTTCTTCTTCTTTCTTTTCGGCTGAAAAGCATGACTATATCTTCAAACAATAGCCAACTATATTTCCATACCTCTCAGATATATCTAGCATGACGTGACCCGCAGTTCTCAGCCCACGGTGGGAAAGACTTCATCTGAAAACGGTCTTTGTAACGAAGCCGGTATCAGATACTGCGACGAAACTGCCCAGAACTTCACACACGCTCGAGCCTGGGAATGCACACGAACGCTACAGCCACATACCACCACCGATCTCTGACTGCAAACAAAGCGCCCCATTAATGATGACCTCAACTTGGTGTCCTTTATTCATTAGAGGGCAGATTTAATTGCTCAAATCATCCAGCCCTCTTTGAAGGTCATGTTTATTATCGCAGGCGTGTTAGAGCTACCAGCTCCCTGTGCTTGCTTTGTTCATAAAGGTTTTATTTTTTTTAGATTTGTAGGGCCTTGTTTATGCTTTAAAAAAAATCATATTTATTCATTAAAAATCACTATTAACAAGCCCTTCTGCCATACTCCACTGTAGCGAGATCGGCTTCTGAAACTGTTACAGAGATTTATCAGAAGCCATTACTGTAATTGCAAATGGCTGTGGAACATTACTCACTGGCAATATCCTGAAGATATCCATCTTATTGAACCATACTGATTAATTGAATTTTCATCAGTGCTAAGCTTATTAACTGTTATGACAAATGATTCGAGGGGCATACATGTAGTCCACCTAGCACATTGCTTTTGAACATTTTCTTCTTCCAGCCAGAGAGATGATTATATTTCATTTCAGTTATCTGTCTTTGAAATAAGACTCAAGACTCGTTAAATGCAGTGGACGATGGCCTCGTTTGCGGTTTGACGGCATACCACACCATGCCTCGCAACTTCAGGGGAAAGTACGGTTTACAGACGGCTTTTTTGGCCTCATGCAAACGAATCTCACAATGCCAGTGAAGAGATGAGAGAGGAACACTTACAGGTTCTTGACGGCGGTGATCCCTCGGAAAGCCTTACGAGGAACAGCCTGAATCTGATTCTCGCTCAGGTCCCTGGAGAGAGAGAGATGAGAAAGAGAAAGAGAGAGAAATTAGGATTGGTTTGAAGCCACTTCACATTTCGCGTCTTGAGGAAGATGGACGGTTCACTGGAACTTTGAAGTCTGAGACCAAATTGTTCTACTGACCATAAATGTCACATCCTCCTTTATTCGTCTGGCCTTTTATCACTCCGTCTGTGTGTGCGCCTAATGAAAAACATTTCTAAAGCAGCACTTTGTAATGAAAGGTCTCATAGTGGTACGTCCCACAATCCTGCAGAAAATGAAGCAATCATATGCACTTTGAGTAACCCGAGAAAGAAATCGGCTCTTTTTTAATGCTCGCTTATGAGCCAAATGATTTTTGACATGTCACAATGGTTGTGCTTAACTTTATTAAGCTTGCTTGTTTGTAGACTCACGCTGGCAAAACATAATTTGAAAACCAGAATGCAATTATGGGCCAAGAAGGAAACAAATGAGATATGGAATATCTGCCCAGCTAATCAAAGGGTCTGCTTTGGAGTCATGCTTGCTACACATAACACGAACAGACCACCACGTGGGTTAACACACCTGACCTTGCTACAACCAATTTCACTGATAAACAATCAGGCACGGATCCAAACGTGGCGAGGAATCCTGCCAGAGCTCGTGCGTGGGACATAATGATGTATCAAGCACAGGACTGCCAGCAATTTCCTCTTAGGAGCATTAAAACTGTAGTTATTGGGCTCTCCCCTCCTTCAGCCCCCCGCCAGAACTGGATACGTGTGTTTTTTTCCCCCCTCGAACCAATCAAGTTTTATTATGGCAAAAATCTTAATAACTATGTTATGCTTTGCAATAAGAGGCTATGGTATTTCATCGAACTGTTCCTGATGGTTTTTGACATGTTCCACAATCCTGCATTGCTTTTTTTTCTTTACAGCACTCTTGGCTGGCTTGATGTGAACATCATGTTTCCTTTGTGTATCCTTCAAGTTGAACTATGCAGGAGGGCAAACATACGCCCTAACATCCCATGATCATATACCACAGAGTGTGAAAATAGGGCCGCTGTTTATAGCATTATCACACTGGACAAGAGCGAATGTATATCAGCACTACTTCTCTGATGGTCTAAACAGATAAAGTGCAGAGATGGTGTGGAGCACAGATGCAACTTCTCTTCGCTTTGGCTTTTTAATTCTTCATGAATGGCGAAGCACCGGTCTTGTACGTCCTCGGTGAGCCGTGAGCGCAGCGTAGTGGCTTTACAGCACTTCCACTGCTAATAAATGTTTTATTGCTTTGTTTACTCAGTGGAACCTTTTTCATTATTTCAACAAAAGGCAAATTGTCCCAGCCAAATAACAGCACTTATGAAACACAATAAGTCTCAGAGGTGCTCTCGCCGATGAGTGACAGAGAGAAACTCCATGTCAGAAGTAGACAAAAAAAAAACCAGTCCCGAGGGCTTTGGGTTGAATGAGATGATTTCTAATGAAGAATTACTTGAAGCTATAAAGAGACAATAGAAGTTTATGAGATATGAGAATTATACTGGCAGAAAAGACGTAGCAATGTACATATTTCATCTGTTCTGACGCTATATTAATTACACATGGATAATGAAACAATCTGTGTGACTTCAGAATGAATACAAGGTCTCCAAACAATCTTTAAAACACAGGCTAATCAGTCAACTGCAGTGATGCAATTCTCTGCATACACTGTAAAAATTATTTGGTAACACTTTACTTGAAGGGGTGTGCATAAGACTGACATGACACCTTCATAATCATGACATGACACATGTCATGAATATGAAGGAGGTTTTATGCATGTTTATGACAACTGTCATTAAGTGTCATTCGCTCAGTTATGTCATTTGTAATGCAAATATGACATTATTTGACCTAACCCTAACCTAACCCTACCCCTACCCTTACCCCTAACCATAGCCCATTACAAAGACATCTCAAACAATGTCATCTTTGCATTAAAAATTACATAACTGAGCGAATGACACTTAATGACAGTTGTCATAAACATGCATAAAAAACTTCATATTCATGAAATGAGTCATGTCATGATTATGAAGGTGTCATGTCAGTCTTATGCACACCCCTTCAAGTAAAGTGTAACCAATTATTTTCTTAATATTTTGTCTTGTTTTATACATATTATACACATGTGAGAAGCAAAATGACAAAAGACTCACATAAGTCTTATTTTTTATAGAATATAAACTGAATTAAGTCTATTTTTCAAAAACAGACTTCTTAAACGTTTTATAATATATATATATATATATATATATATATATATATATATATATATATATATATATATATATATATATATATATATATATATATATATATATTTATTTGAACTCCGTTGGCAAATAGAAATAGATTTTTTTTTAAAGAAACATATCTACATACCTACATATATACTGTATAAACACATACGACTCATTTTTGTTTGTTTTGTCATTTTCAAGGAATAAACTGACTTTTACAGCAATAATGAAATGAACTCAACCCGGGTATGCACTGCTAAATTGGGCATCTTAACAGATGCTGGAATGAATACTTTAAGGTAAAAGTTACAGATTCAAAGCAGACATGCACCACACAGTGTTTGTTAAAGGACGAGAGCTGGTCCCCCTCCTCTAGCAATCTGCTTGCAAATTTCATTAATTTAATTTGGCTTTGGCCCTGCTCTCTCTGACTGTCAGGATGCCTGCCATAAATCTCCCTTTGATTCCATTACGGCTCCCATGTCCAGACAACCTGGCAACGCCAAAACATATTACAGATAAACGCTCAGCAACACGCAAGGATATGAGAGCCGAGCTGCGAGGAGGATCTATCCTTACACACACGCACAGACTCTCTCACACACAAAGGTCAGACAAAGCGAAACACGATATACTTCATGAATTGCTGTTGTTAAGCCACTCAACAAACATCTTGTTTTCAATCGAATGCACACAAGAATCAGCGATAAACAGTTAAGCACATGCAAGGAAGAGAAGACCACTAATAATTCAAAATACACATCTGTCACATTTCGAAAGCTCAATATTTTGCCAATATAAATCAATGGGAGATTTTCAAACTTTAATCGTTAACGATTGCTTAAGAAGTTTCATAGTACATCTTTTGAAAGTGGTTTTGGCTGAATTAATTGCAGACGTTTACTTCTTAGGGGTTAGCGGTTTCGAACAAATCCTAAGCAGAGTCCGTCCATTCATTTTCCAAACATCATCATATGTAAGGTCCTAAGCAGAATGTTTGAGGAATGTCAATACACCGCTGCCTTACAAACGCAGTAAAAAGCATTGAGGGAATGTCAGTCAATTCTCTTTCTTATCACGCTTTATGAATGTCACTCTTATCTCTCCACTGAAAAATGGAATGCTGCGGTTTTACAAGAAGGTTGTTTGCTTCACTTTTGTTGTATTCTCGCACTGTTTAAACCACAAAGGAAAAGAGTGATTGTCTAAAGTAGCGGAGACTTAAACATCACTTTACAGAAATTCAAATAATGCAGGATGTCTGAGACAGACTCACACACACACACACACACACACACACAGGTTTACATTTGTGAAAAGTGGGGACATCCCATAGGCGTAATGGTTTTTATACTGTACAGACCGTATATTCTATTGCCCTACACCAACCCTACCCCTAAACCTACCCCTCACAGGAGACTTTGTGCTATTTCAGATTTTCAGTACACTCCATTCTGTGTGATTTATAAGCGTTTTGAAAAGTGGGGACATGGGGTAATGTCCTGAAAAGTTACCTTCTCCTTGTAATACCTATGTCATACCTTTGTCATTATACACATTTATGTCCTCATTTGTCACAAAAACGCGTACACACACACACACACACACAAAAGCTTCTCAAGTGCATATGCACAGTTTTCTTCTAATCCTCATTCTAATGTTGATGAATCTGAATCATTTTGAAAGTGACGTGACATGTGGCCAAGTATGGTGACCCATACTCGGAATTAGTGTTCTGCATTTATCCCATCCAAAGTGCACACACACACCGGGAACACACAACCGGAGCAATAGGCAGCCATTTTTTGCTGCGGCGCCCGGGGAGCAGTTGGGGGTCCGGTGCCTTGCTCAATGACACCTCAGTCGTGGTATTGAAGGTGTGAGAGAGCGCTGTACATTCACTCCCCCCACCCACAATCCCTGCCGGTACGAGACTCGAACGACTCTCTAACCATTAGGCCATGACTTCCCCCATGATTTTAAATGACAGAGCATGTTCATGCAGTTAGTAGTAATTATCATAAAGCATGCCCAGACATCTCCATATAAGAGTCTTCTGAACAAGCCACCCTATACAGCCATTCATTCCTCTCTGCAAACATACAGCATCTAAATGAAGCAATCTTACATAACAGCACCCACAGCAAGAGTAAAGCAAAATGTGCCATTTTCAAAAACACAAGAGACATAGACTATACTGAATTATGCATAAACTATCAAATAAATCAATAAATAAGACTTTTAAATAGTTCACATAGTTATTCAATTAGTTTCAGATTAGTTTATATTATATTATATTATTAATTAGTGCTGTCAAACGATTAATCGCGATTAATCGCATTTAAAATAAAAGTTTTTGTTTACATAATATATGTGTTTGTACTGTGTATATTTATTATGTATATATAAATACACACTCATACAATATATATTTTGAAAATATTTACATGTATATATTTATATTTATATAACTGATATTATATATAAATATATTTAATATACAAATATATAACATATTTTTCTTAAATATATACATGCATGTGTGTGTATTTATATGTACATAATAAATATACACAGTACACACATATATTACATAAACAAAAACTTTTATTTTGGATGCGATTAATCGCGATTAATCGCTTGACAGCACTATATATTATATTATTATAGATCAAAAGTTTGGGTTAGGTACTATAGGTACGGTAGTTTTGCTAAATTTTTTG